GGAATGAGACTTGGAAGCATTAGGAATTTTTGGTCAAAATTATTTATAACTTCAGCACTTTCAACTCTTGGAAACAATAAAACGTGTGTGGCAGGCAGGTGAAATTCATTTTTGGAGAGCAGGTCAGACAACACCGTCAGGGTATTATTTTACCCTGTGAACAGAGGAAATATCAAAGGAGAGCATCCAAAACCAAGGCAAGAAGAAAGGAATGAGAAAGGACCAACAGAGCAGCTGCTGCATGAGCAGTGCTGGCTAACAGCTACGTTATTGAACAGAGGAAACCATGTCCTGGAGAGCACCCACCAGAGCCAGTACGGACGGGACACCTCCAGCCGTCCCGGGGAGATTCTGGCAGGCCTGGCACCACGCCAGCAGGCGACAGCACTCCAGATTTGTGTACAAGGAAAGGAGAAACCAAAGCTACGTGTCACAACTGCTTGTGCAAACGCTCCCGAGCTGCCTTCGCTCCAGCTGGTCCTGGCGGGTGGCGGGCAGCTGCCCTGGGCACCCAGAGCCCCAGTGGGGACAGCGCGGGGACCGCCCACGGAGCACGGCCCCTCGCCCCCCGGACCAGCAGGGAGGATGCCCTGGGCCACGCCAGGATACAAGGGTGCCTTTGGTTTAATCCTGGGAAAGGAACAATGTTTACGTGAATCATTTTGTCCTGTACTTGACCGGGATTAGATCAGATAAGTTCAGAGTAAAAGCTGCTCGTACAAAAAAACAAACAGGAAAATTAATAAATGCAGAGTGCAAAGAACTGAGGGGTGGTCTGAGCAATCCATTTTTATACACATCTTATGCAATGTAGTGCAACCGAACAAACAGAAGATGGCAACAGTCCATCATCAAGTGCCTCAGTCATAGAAGGACTTTAATGGAGAAAAAAACAGTTTGAGAAGAAGATTCTGAAAATGCAGCATTCAAATAACAAGATAAAATATTGCATAAGAACATCTTTGATGAAGATTTCTACTGAAAGAAGGGTTTATTTTTTCTTTTTGACACTGTTAGTTTTAGATTCTGTTTTACACACAATGAAAAAGCTGAAGTATTATAATATTTGGATTATATATTTGGATAAATGCAAGTATTATAAAACTACTTACAGTGTCAGGGGAGATCACTTCTGGAAAGGAAGACAGGGTATCTTGGAGATTTACCCTACTTTAAATAAAAATACTTTAAATGGCTAAAATACCACAAAATAAACCCTGTTTTCCCATCAGCTCTGTAGAAAACTATGTTCACACACAACCTCAAAGACTACTGCTGGGATCAAATTTGCCATTTGGTACTCTTAGGGGTCCATGCACACACAAAACCAGATTCAGAGAACCATTCTGGGACTGGGCTGCATAGTTCAAATTCTTGCAAGCACTAAATTAAATGGAGCAGCATGCTGGGCTGGTTTTGTGCAATGCGGGACTGCAGGATCAGTTGCGTACACACAGACCTTAGTAACCAAAGGCTCTCTTGTGAGGTCTTATATGGTTAAAGAAAACTCTGACTGAGTGCGTATGGTCTCCCTTTGATGACTCAAGTAGCAGTAAATCACAGCAGGGTTTATGGCTTGTTAAATTCTGCTCAATAACGACTGCGTTAAACTCCCACCCAGCCCACGCCCCGGTCCCTGCCCCTCCGCAGGGCTGCTGGATGCACAGACACCGCCCTGCAACACCACGCCCAGGATAAGTTCACTTTATCTTCACAGGATGTGCGTGTGACAGTCCCTTTGCACTGGTTCATACACCCACTTGCATATACAACAGCTCTTTGAAGATGCTGTTTGTGAAACATTTTCCCAGGGCTAGAAATTATTTATAAAACAATATCCTAGTCCCCACATACCAGATAACTATATTTAATCTGTCTGGATTTGACACGGAATTTTCATCCTCAGAACTTCTATTTGAAAGAAAAATGTACAAGAAAGTTCACAGGAAAAGTCTCAGGCGCTGATCAGTCGCTGTCATTTCAGAGAACTGGGTCAGGACAGAGACACAGGAGAGTTCTGGTTGTGCAGCCAGACGCTGCCCTTTTCCGTGGGATGCTCTGTGCGACAGACGGTTTCCAGGTGGAGGCAGGACAGCAGATCAGACCCAAGAACACACAGAGCACACAGTTGGTGAACATTTCTGGGTTTTTTGCATTTAGGAAGCTTTCCATTACCTTGCCATGGAGTAGCCCAGCCACAACTCCCCATGCCATGGAGTTATCTGCTTGTACTTAGAGACAGCTCCAGCCCGCTAGCGGGGCAAGACTTTTGTCACTACGTGTGTTATGCGGTTTCTCTAGGAATAACCCTGACTGCGGCTCTGCACCCGTGCAGCACCCCGGGTGTCCTGGTTCCGGCTGGGACAGAGCTCACGCTGTTCACAGTACCCGGTGAGAGGCTGTGTTGGGGTTCGTGCTGGGGAGGAGCTGATCACACACCGATGGGCAGAGCTGCTGCCGGGACAGCTGAGGACCTTCCAGCATGTCTGCTGTGCCCGTGTCTGCAGGGGCAGGAGGAGCTGGGAGGGGGCACAGCCCCAGGGACCAGCCCAGATTCCACCTCAGGGGTAGGACTGAGACCCAACCGGCCGATGGTCTGTTCCATCCCATGCCCAGCATAGCCAGGGTATTAGGAGGGGCTATTTGGAAGCTCTCCCTCTGGCTCATTCTCCCTCGGTCAGCTCTTCCTCTCCTGGGCTCTTCTCTTTTCTGGGATTGGGGTCTCAGGACTTTCGCTGTTCCGGGATCGTCAGCCAGGAACGGGCTGGGGCTTGGTCATCGGCACAAGGCGTCTTAAAAAAGGAAACTAAAACCCCACAAGTTCTAAGAACATATCTTCGTATTGCCGCACACCAGTATCTCAGTCATTAAGCAACCGCAATTGCGTAACGAGCACAACCATGATGGGCTCATTCCCATGTGCGTCAGCCCCATCCTCAGCTCGTGCTCCCACGTGAGGCAGAACGTCGGCATCGCGAGCGGCAGCGGTGCCCTCTGAGCGTGGCCGGGGACCCGACGAGCACCTTCCAGACCCTCGTACGGCCTCAGGAGGTTGTTCCACAGCCTTGTCCAGGCATCCGCCTGTCGGCAAAACAAAACCCGGCACAAAGCACTTGCTGGCAGCTGTGACAGGGTAAAAAACAAAGTCCAGAAGTCCTGCCATACTTTTGTAATTAGCATGCCTTCTAGTGGGATTATTCTATAAAAAAATATTTATCTTGTTAATCCTGCTTTTATCACTGCACAGGGCTTGGCCACAACGCGATCTGTGTGCTGTCATGTTCAGGGGGGCTGGAAGCACTGGTTGCCTCATCAGAAGATTTTGGTAACGAGGCACAGACCTATAAGATTAGTAGTCAGAGATATTGCTCATATATGGCAATGGTTTGGTGGCGTAAGATCCTTCATTTAGAAAAAAAACCACACAAGCCTGAACCCATCAGTGCCATTCCTGTTAGCAAAGGCTTCAGCGCTGCCACCCCAACCCGCGCTTCAGCGAACACACACGAGGAACCACATCCCCCCGCCAGCCCGCCAGGCAGCAGCTGTGCTCTGATGTGCCGCCAGCCTTCTCCCAGCTCTGCCTGTCATCTGTATGCTCTGGTCCCGGTACAAACTCCATCAGCAGGACTAGAAAAGAAGTTTTCCTTTATAGTCACTGATTTCAGATAAAAACTTTAATTTATTTTCTACATAAAATGACGACTAGACCAGCAGAAGTTAATTTGGGACAAGAAAGACTTGTATGGCTAAAGGCAGAATACATTATCAGCTCGTTCTTAAGCCACCGAACGTATGGGATACACAACAGGGGTCTTCTTGCAATCACACCCACTGCTTGCTTCCAAACCCTTCAGAAATAGCAGTTATATCTTTGGATCCTTAAATATTAAACTGAGACGGCGTTTTGGAAAAATATCCATGTTTGTACAACAAAACAACCATTCAGTTTGCCCTGCTGTCTGGTCACTCCAACGGGGTGAAACTGTGCCCAGAGCTCAGCCGCCCTACCCACCCTCAGAGCTCTGAACCCGCTGCCGGGACCACTGCCTACTCCTCCCCGAAGCACGCAAAAAGTTATCTGTGCTGCAACGTTCAATCCATGAGAGAACGGCAGTGTGCCCTTGGAAACACCGCATTTCTGCTTCTTCTGGGACTCCACACACCCGTGGAGAGCCGCACGCTTCCGTCTTTTGCTGGAGGCAGCACTGCGACTGATGTCCTGAGTCCTGGCTTCAACCAAGAACGACATTTCAGACCAGAAGTACAGCCAGG